ATATTATTAATAAATATAAGTTATTATATTTATTTATTTTATGTTTGCTTACTGTGTCCTAGCTTCTTATTTTGTTTTGATATGCCCAAATAGGCTGCTCGCATGAGCTAGTTTGATTATTGGCACCTTTGAAGCTCTAATGTTCTGTAACCAGGTGGTTAGATCTGTTACTAGGTATGTGAGTTCAGGAGTCTGCCCACTCCTCCTGTATGGATTAAGCTTAGGTGCCCAGGTAGATAGCCACCAAGTGTGTGGTGTAGGCTCTCACAGTCCTAGACAGGCATGGATGATTGGTGTAGGCACAGGCATCTGGCTGCAGCCGGGGGACACACTCTGAGCAAGGCAGGGGGCTGACAGCCGCCCCCTAGTGTCCAGGAGGAAGGCGTGTCCCTGTTCCCTAGAGCACATGGGTGGGTTTTGCAGCCGGACTATGAACACCTAATGCTGTTGGCTATAAGGACTTGGGGGCACCTCTTATTCATGGGCCCCTATCGCAGGTGGCTAGGTGGCATGGATGGAGCCACCAGCCCTCAGGCCCCTGATGTGGGTAGGTGAAGACCCTGCTTAATGGGTAGAGCAGTGTCAAATGTCAAGACCCTGACACTTCACAGCTTAAACAGTTGAAGTTAGACTTCTGGTATATACCCTGTTGTACTGCGGTAATGAGGGCCTGCACTGTTGAGATGGGCCCACACAAGTCTATGAAGGGGGAAAGGCACTCAGAGTCCATGGATCACTTAATGCCTGTGCCTAGGCAAAGGAGATGTGCCTACCCTGGGTACCTGGCTTAGGGGAGCTGGCAGTTTATTTTTTCCTGTTTGTTAATTTGTTCACTCTCCAAGGCAGGGAGAATGGCTCAGGGCGTATGATGGATCCTACTTCTGGCCCAGGGGACGGGCAATTGCTGAAGCCGGTCCGGGACCCCGTGCAGAGCAGGGAGTGGGGAGGTAAATGGGAGAGAGGTTTTTCCCTAAGGGGAGTGTTTTTGATCCGCGTGGTAGGCCGTATGCAATTACTTATCTTTTGCTGATCCAGGGCTGCTTCTCACTGGTTCTGGGTGGCCGTGTAGACTCTCTGGCACTGGGTCTCTCCTGGTGCGGAAAACAGGTCTCCCGAGCACCGCTGCTTGCCTGCCTCACTGCTCACCCCCGAGCTTATCCAGGTTGAAGGGCTGCGGTTCTCGCTGGGTCAGGTGTGTCAACTCCTCGCTGCTTCTGAACCGTCCCTCCCTCCCCCTGCCACTCAGTCCGGTTCCTCAACTCTGCATTTGATGTTCAGGGCTCCCAGATTGCCATATATCATCAATTCACTTGTTTTTTTGGGTCTTTGTTGTAAGAGGGTCCACCGGAAGTGGCTGACTACTCTGCCATCTTGGCCCCCTATTTTTCAACCTTTAAAAATGTAAAAACCATTCTTAGCTAATGGGCCATAACAAAACAGGCAGCAGGCCATATTTGGCTTATGGGCTTCAGTTTGCTGACCCCTGCACTTAGTGCTAGGTGTCATGGTGACAGTCTCAACTGGAGACTTGAGGGGGAAATTTGGTGGATCTGGAGCCATTAATGAAGTGATCCTTTGGAG